AGCAATTCTCTGCCTCAGCCTCCCGAGTAACTGGGATTACAGGCTTTGCCACCAAGCCCAACTAATTTTTGTATTTTTAGTAGAGACAGGGTTTCACCATCTTGGCCAGGCTAGTTTGAACTCCTGACCTTGTGATCCACCCACCTCAGCCTCCCAAAGTGCTATATCTTAGTTTACATGTTTAAGTTCCCTCTCTACATATGGGTACATCTCAAAACTGTGCACACAGTTATGTTTTTTGTTTTTTTGAGACAAGGTCTCACTTTCTCTTTCCCAGGCTGGCATGCAGTGGCACAATCTCAGCTCACTGCAGCCTCAAACTCCTGGGATTAAGCCATCCTCCCACCTCAGCCTCCCAAAAGCTGAGACTACAGACACACACCACCAAGCAGGCTAATTTTTGTATTTTTTGTAGAGGTGGGTTTTTAACATGTTGGTCAGGCTGGTCTCCAACTCTGGAGCTCGAAGTGATTTGCCCGCGTTGGCCTCCCAAAGTGCTGGGATTACAGGCATGAGCCATGGTGCCCAGCCTATTTATTTTCTTGATCAAAACAAGCCATTTGTGCTTGGGTAGATAATAAAGATTGCTGAGGTCACATTTATAAAAGGAGTACTGTGTAGCTCCATGGGGGAGGAATGGTATTAGATTAAAACAAACACAGGAGCATGCATATGCAAACACAGTGACTGACGGGTAAGGGAAGAAGTGGCAGCTGCTGCTAACACGGGAACCCCAGGCAGGCAAGGACACTGGCATAAGGCGCTCCACGGTGCTCCTTCACCAGGAGAGGCCGCTGCTCAGGATTTGTCTGGGTTTCCTTCTGAGCACTTTCAGTTTTATCTGACAGCATCTTTCTGCTTTCAAATGCTCACCCCTTCCACTCCCTCTGCCCCACACAGACTCCCCAAACACCTGCTCTCTTGCATTCCCAATGCTACTTCAGAGTGTGACTTAATGGCTAAGAAAAAAAAGTCGGACTCAACTTGCACAACCAGTCAGCCAAGTCTTACCATGGTAACTCTAAAGTATGCTTTGGAGCCATTTGTTACCCTCAAACCCCCACCATGGTCACCATCCCTGCAGAGTTCCAGCTCTTCATATCTCCTGACTCAACCGTTCGTTGGTTTCTAATTGTTTGTTCTCCTGGCTTCCAGTCCTCTCCGCCCCATCTCTCTTCAACACTGCCCTCGGCAGGTGTCTTTCCAGTCTGCTGAGGGTACTTACTGCCTTCCTTAAACCCATTAGAGGTAGGTGCCTCGAAGCTCAAGGCTAGGACTGATGATTCCTTCTCTTCGTCCCCAAGACTCTGAACCTCAGCAGAGCACTTCCTACATGGAGTCATAATGACTTGTTTCTGTTTTCGTCTTTAGTAGTCAGCTGAGAGCCTCCTAGGGCTACTCATGGGATTCATTCCTCTCGGTTCCCCAGTGTCCAGCCCAAAGCCTGGTATTGGAGATGCTCAACAGAGAACAATGCATAGGCAGTAAGGCCTAGAGTGCTGGCCCCTGAACACTGACTGACTGGTCTGATCTGAAAAACCTTGCCTCATCAGAACGGCTCACATGCCTAACAGATGAGCCTAAGGATCAGTTTGCAACAGAGGCCAAAGATTAGAGGCTCCGGGGGGTTGGTGTGGGGCCTTTGGAGACCTAGATAAAATTGGTACAATATGTCGCATAACTAATAGGGTAAACAGTCTGCTTTAATAGCTTAACTAGATTCTGAGATTAGTTAGCAGGCAAAAAGATTTTGAATTTCAAAATATATTCTGGTATATCTGCTGAAATCAATTCATTGTAAAAGTAAAATCTCCTTAGCTTTTAAGGTGATTTTTTTAAAAAGAAGCTTAAGCCCGCTAGACAAAACATGATCCTAACTGGGAGAGGTATCCTGTCAAAGGCACGTGATTGGTGATTGGTGGCTACCATTAAGACAAGGACACTGCTCTTAACTTCCACAATTACAACAACAAAAGTCTCTTTGTGGGCTCAGTGTGCAGCCTCAATAAATATTCACAATGATAAAATCCAGGTTCCCCCAGAGCCAGAGGGCTCAGGGGCCAACCAAATAAACTCCATAACCTTATTAGGAAGAGGATTAAAAAAAGAAAAGACCTCTAAAACTAAAAATGCACTTTGTTGCTTCAGTGAAAATCACTACATTTATGCCCTAAGAAGTTCTTTTGAAAGAATGAATGCATAGTCACCACTCAGAAACAGACTCTGGTAGCGACTTAAGAAAGTAATACATCATTTCTATTCATATTCTTTTTTTCTGTTTTAGTTCCTAAGGAAACTGCTTCATTCTATCAGAGGAACTGAAAAGCTATTCTAGGGTAGGTATGAAGAAAAGGAAAAAAAATATACCCTGCAGGTAAATGGTCTTCTTGATCTTAGGGACAAGAGCCATATGTGATGGGATTTTTGGATGAAGAAACCCCTATGTCTGGTTTTTTTTAATCCCCGCAAGACAGTAAATCTGAAAACATTTCAGACCTCTCAAAACAAGCCACATTTCCTTTGAGCAGCCTCCTGAAATGCTTAGAGAAAGTTCCATCTAGGGAGACTGCGTGGGGCCTTAGAAATCTTGGCCAATTTCTAAGGCCCCATGCAATCTCCCTGGATAAGATTTTTTCCACATGAAAAGGCATAAACATGAAAAGATAGAAACAAAGAAATTTATCAAATATGAGTATGTTAATCCTATATGATGCACTGGCTTGCTTTATGTGTGTGTATAATCAGTACAAAAACACAGTTAGTGAAGTAAGATCTAGTGTTTGATACTACAGTCAGGTGTTTAAAGCTAACAATAATTTGCTGCATTATTCAAAATTGCTGCAAGAGAGGAAGTGAAATGTTCCCAACATAAAGAAGGGGTATATGTCTGGGGTGACAGAGGTCCCAGCTGCCCTGATCTGATCATGACACATGGTATGCACGCACCAAAATACCACATGTACCCACAAATACAGACCACTATTAAGTATTAAAAAGGGTGACTAACAATAATACTTCCACTATTGAAGAAAGAATTTGGAGCCATTCTGAATAGAAGGTAAAAGACAAGTTTACACAGAAAAAGCCAAGCAAAAACCCAATGCTTAGAACAAAACCTGCACGTCCTTATGAGCCCTGGATCCTCTCCTGAATCAGCATATCATCTCCTGCACCTAGCTTGGTAGCATAAGCCCTGATACTGTACCCTGGAGACACCCAATTCACACTGCCTGTACGATAGGCTCATTAACATGGAGGTGACTGGCCTTGCATGAATCTATGTCTGTGTCAAAGAATTCATTTCCACACTTGGCAATCTGTTACATGCATAAAAATATAGCTAAACTGTGGGTCAGAAATGAGGCAAGTAATGTTAATTCTTTTCGAAGAAATGTTTAATTTCTCAAGATGCCTCCTTTTAATGTTTGAATACCAACTTTGCTATTAGAAATTATGTTTCAGGGTATTCACTTTCAACACCTAAGTCAAGATAGGAAATTAGGAGAGGGTTGGAATGAACCTATTTTTACCCTAAACATTGGTCCTAAGACTCCTCTGCAAACTCTGTCAGTGGTCAGTCAGTCTAAAACTGGATACCTTCAAAAATGAGAATCTCCTTCCTTCCAGGGCAGTGAGCTGGTGCTGAGCAGTGTACTGAAAAAACATGGGCCAGATCCAGATGGGCCTAATTCCATCTATGCTGTTTTGCTTGCTGAGGGATCTTGGCACCTCAGTTTCCCCAACTGTAACACAGTAGATAAGAGCATAGGTTCTAGAGCCAGACTACTTGGGCTAAAATTCCAGCCCTGCCACATACAGCTGTGAGATCTTGGTCCTCTTATCAGTATAACAGGGATAAAAACATCAAGGACCAAATAGTGTTGTCTTGAGGATTAAATGAGTGTCTACATGTGGTCAACTTCAGTGTTGGCTTATAATAATCACTATCATGATGATGCTGAACTATGCTATAGTAAGAGTTAAATGATAACTGTATGTAGCTCCTGGATCAGTGCCTGATACACAGATGATTATAATATGTACTTCAATCATTAATTGAACACCTACTTTAAAAACATATGCTAGCTCCTTTAACCCTCTCTAAAACTCTGCCAGATAGGTTAAAAAACTGAAATTTTGAGTGATTATGTGACTTGCTCCAAATGTCATAGTTAAGAACTGGCAATCCCAGCACTTTGGGAGGCCAAGGCGGGTAGATCTCTTGAGGTGAGAAGTTCAAGACCAGCCTGGCCAACATGGAGAAATCCCAACTCTACTAAAAGTACAAAAATTAGTGGGGTATGGTGGCACATGTCTATAATCCCAGCACTTTGGGAGGCCAAGGAGGGTGGATCACCTGAGGTAAGGTGTTTAAGACCAGCCTGGGCAACATAGTGAAACCCTGACTCTACTAAAAGTAGTCCCAGCTATGCAGGAGGCTGAGGCTGGAGAATCACCTAAGCCTGAGAGGTGGAGTTTGCAGTAAGCCAAGATTGCACCACTGCAGTCCATCCTGGGTGACAGAGTGATACTCCATCTCAAAAAACAAACAAAAGTGGCAGGGCTGGGCTTAAAATCTAGGAGAGCCTGATTTTACATTCCAAGCTGTTACTACTGCACTACATTTTTGCCTTTAATTAAACAGTATTTCCTTATATTAAGCCACCTTAACTGGAGCTGCTCTGACTTTTCAAACTTCCCTCTCCTCCATTCGTTCCGCAGCAGCTAAGGCCACAGATTGTGCTCGGCTTGCCCCGCATACCACTTTCAGGGCTCCTCACTTTGGGGGTCTTCAGTCGTGTGCACTGGCTTCCTATATCCACTGGGGCTTTGCCCAAAGTTTGGCTGATGATTTTATACTCCCAATGGCAGAACTAGGTCCCTGCCCCTATTAAGACAGAAAGACTGAGTCTTCCAGGCTGTGATAAGCCAACCAATGGCAATGTCATTTTTAACATTAAAAGTAAAACTGAGCTCTTAATTTCTAAATTAGTCCTTACCTTTTTTCTTCTGGGATGTTTTCCAGCAGCATTTGAAGGAAATCCTGGGATTAAAAAAAGCAAACCATTAAAGACGTCCATCAGTGAATAACTCTGCCTGGAACCATGCAAGAGGCTGAGCGCTCCCAGCTACTGACAGCTCACCTGCTGTGGAAACTAGACCTATGCTGACTTATCAGGCTATAGACTCAATTTATCAATTTCCCAGGGTTTCAATCCAATCATTCAAAGAGATTTGTTTTGTAAAAACCATGAACACATTAAAAAGTGGAATGTTTGTTATTCTGACCTAATCCAACAGTCTGTTTCGTTTTGTGGTCAGCCATTTTCAAAAGGCTGGCCATTGGGTAAAGCACGATCCCTCTCTACTCCCCCATGGTGTCCTCTTCCTCAATTTTCCCTAGAGATTCCTGTACTCCTAGAAGCGAGTAACTAACTGCAACTCTCTTGTATTGCTCTACCAAATGATAAAGATAAATACCAAAATCATAAGTCTACCATCAAGGAACAAAGATGTCCACAAGTCCAAGCATGGCTCACAAGCCCCTACCTCCATCTGTAGCCTCTTCTCATGCCTTTGTACAAGACCTTGGTCACTGGACATTTGAGATGTTTAGATGCTAAGTTTTTTTAACCTAAAGGCATGGCTTACACACACAAACACACACATTTTACTTTCCTTTACTATGGAAAATATGAAGCACAATAAAAAATCGACAAAACCTTCACATACCCATCAATGCACAGCCCGTCCTGTCCTATCTACCTTCCCACTTCTTGTATTATTTAGAAGCAAGTCCCAAACATTACATAATTTCATCAATAAAAGTTTTAGTAAATATCTCTAAAAGGACTCTTAAGACATAGCCACATAATCATAAAGACCTAAAAAATTCAAATATGAATGTTCATTCAGATTTAATTTGTACTGTAAGTATTATGACCCCCTTTTCCAGCCCATTTAATTCTGGAATCTTGATTTGTTCTTAACTGGGGCTGTCAGATAAGAATAGACGCCCAGGCCGGGGGCAATGGCTCATGCCTGTAATCCTAGCACTTTGGGAGACAGAGGCAGGTAGATCACCTGAGGTGGGGAGTTCAAGACCCGCCTGACCAACATGGAGAAACCCCACCTCTACTAAAAATACAAAATTAGCAGGGTGTGGTAGCACATGTCTGTAATCCCAGCTACTTGGGAGGCTCAGGCAGGAGAATCACTTGAACCTGGAAGGCAGAGATTGCAATGAGCCGAGATCACGCCACTGCACTCCAGCTTGGGCAACAACTCTGTCTCAAAAAATAAAAATAAAAAGAATAGGGGCCCAGTAAAACTGGGGGTACAATTACATTAAAAATTTATTTGCTATTTAAATGAAATTTGAATTCTATTGATTTTTCTGTTCTGTATTTTTATTTTTTAAGTGGGTAACCCTAGTGTCAACCTTTCCTCATCTTAAGATTTAATAAGATATACTTTGTATAAATATAGAACATGAAACAAACAAGAACAATATTTAACTTTCTTGGAACTTGATGACATTGAGTAACAAATAAAATCTATATTTGAAGTTTTTCTTTTAATAAAATAAAAAAAAATCTTTTAAAATGGGTCCTTTAAAGTGTAAGCCCAGACATGATCAAACAAGAGTTACTCTAGACTGAAGCCCTCCCCACAGAGCCAAGCATGCAAATACAGACTCCACACGAGACTTTGATGAGACCCACTTAACTGCAAGACGGAGGCAGTAGCACAGATCTTTGCATTACAGAACAGATAGAATTACGGAGGAATAGAAATCTGCAAATCATTTGTATGATAAGGCATTCTTCTTCTATCATCACACAGAAATACAGCTATCACTATGCTAGTGAATCTGGCTGTCCCATTTCTGCGTGTTTACGGGTGGTCACAGTCCATTTCTTCCAGAGACAAAGTCTCCCTATTAACAGCATTAATGAAATATTGATTTCTTGAAACTTCTCTTCTCCTTCTGAGACTTTGTTTCTTGCTGTTTCATGTGTGGTAACAACACAAACAGTAATAAAACTATCGTTTAAAAAAATGGACCATGCAAAGAAAATGATGAAGGTGGGGTGGGCAACCTCAAACTGACTGATGCCTCACAACTGGAGTTGTTCCTTGCACCTGCAGTGGATATATGGAGAAAAATACCAAACAAAACAAGAGCAGTATTTAGAACATAAACAATTATTTTTGCTTGAGGTTCTTAGAGTCATTTTTATTATTCAAAAATTATTTTGCAAAAAAAGTTGAATTAGACATTTATCACAATCTAATATATTAATATTTTATATATTAATATCTAATATATTAAAATTTGTTATCTTTTTGGGGGGGAATGGAGTCTTGCTCTGTCACCCAGGCTGGAGTGCAATGGTGCCATCTTGGCTCACTACAACTTCCACCTCCTGGGTTCAAGCAATTATCTGCCTCAGCCTCCCCAGTAGCTGAGATTACAGGTCACTGCCACCACACGTGGCTAATTTTTGTATTTTTAGTAGAGACAGGGTTTTGCCATCTTGGCCAGGCTGGTCCTGAGCTCCTGACCTCGTGATCCACCCACCTCAGCCTCCCAAGGTTTACAGGCGTGAGCCACTGCGCCTGGACTAAATTTAATATCTTAACAGATAACTTTGTAGATTAATTTCTCACTGGCTTGTTGATAGGAGTTTTGATTCTTAAAAATCCAAGTACTTGTAACGATAACTTTTTACTAATTTTACTTCATTATCTCCTTGTAGCCCATGCTAATTTATCCTATATTTACCTGGTAATTTATGCTCGATTATGTGGAAAAAAATTACATTAACTCAATGGCAATAGGGGGAATTTAATTGAATGAGAAGCAGGAAATTCAGAGTTAATCTTAATTCTGCCCTTCTGCATTTTCCAATTATAACTGGATCCTTCTGTACAGAATTGCAGAGCACAAGTATTCAGAATTGGGTGTGAGTTCAGGTAAGCACAGGAGGCCCTGGGAACCCTGCTTCATTTTGAAGGAAGATAGTTGTCCTGCCTCCCAGCAAGTTGCCATCCTGGAGCATCTGCCTCTTCCTACCTCAGAGCTCAAGCCTACAGGCAACGGCAGTGAGCTGAAGCTGCCAGTGGTGCTGGGGATGACAGGCCCAGAGGATCCCAAAAACCTAACACCTTGGGCATCTCTAAGACATGAGGCTGGCATTCCCACAGGCTATGGGAATGTCTTTCCATGGCATTTGATATTCTTCTGTTCTCTGCTCCATCCCATTCAAGACAGCTGGTCTCATCCAAGAGGTCTCTGCATCATCTTTCAATGGAATGAACCTACTGGCCGTTCTTACTCCTGTCATAGATTCAATATTTAACAGTGAAACACTACTTTTCCTGGTTGTTTTAATAAATTGGCATATACCTCTAGGGTGCACTTATGACAGAAGCTTTTTCCACTTTCTACAGCAGAAGAAAAAAGAAAGAAAAATGATTATTCCTTCCTGCACCACCTCTTTTGAATTCTTTTATCTGTCTTCTTTCTTTCCTTCAGTGTGTTGGCAGTTTTGTGAAAGCAACTTACAAATCTTATTTGGACAAGGAGGACTTTTTTTCCCCCAGCTGATTCTAGGATCATTTGATAAGGTTAGCTAGCAACAAATAGTAGGGGTCCCAGTTTGTCACCTCTGCAGTATGCCTGAAACAAATTAAAACCAAAGCCCACCCCCACCCCAACAATCTATTGTTTTATGAAGGGGCTAGGATGAAATTCTATCTGGATCTTTGGCAATGGTTACAAGGCCACACTCCAGTCAGTAAATACATTCCTTGAGAACTTTTTTTATGTCCTACTCTCCTAATAATCGATATGCCAATCAGATCCATCCTGTATAGCCTGTTTTGATTAACAATTATTAACACTAAATTAAGCACTACACATTTCTTAAAAATTAACACCAATTTTGGCACATGGCTAATTTGGTAATATTTTTCAGTCCTGGTGACAGTATTCAACAGAAAGCAGGTACATGCAGATTCTACTGGCTAAACTGACACCAGCTTGACTATTACATGGGGCTAGCCCTTTCTGTCAAATATTTTATGAATAATTATCACGTTCATAAGGAAGGGGAGAGAGGTAGTGGATGCAAAACAAAATATTGAAGGAAGGACAGGAATATCAGGGTAAGAACTGAGAAGAAATGAAATTGTCAAGAAGAAGTCATTGTTACACTCAAGAGAGGGCTTTTAGTGGGGGCTAGAAAGATGTTAATATGGAAATGCTGGACCAGGAGGGTGTTTGGAAGGGAAAGGATTAAGAAGTAAATTGGGAAGGGAGGAACTATAGGGACTTCTGAGTAAAGAAACTGGATCATAGACTTTCGTCATCAGTAACTAACTTGCAATTTAAATAAAAACACAAATCTTTCTTCAAAAGCAATAAAAACTTGACCAGTAGTATTCAAACAAGGACAGCCTTGTGGCATAAACTTCAAAAAGACACAACTAATAGAGAAATCTAAGATTCAAACACAGCTTCTACCCCAGCCTCATGCTTAGCAGTACTAATACTGGGAACTACCCAAACCTTGCAAATTCTCACAAATATCCACACATTTGGGAAAAAATAGGAATATTTTTATCTTTCTTCTTTTTTCCTGTGGAGGGGCTGGAAGTATTTGCTGGCAAGAGATGAGCAAAACATGGGAAATAAACAAGTCTTCGATGAACTGCTCACACTCTAGGGCTCTACCCTAAAAGTTAGAGGAACAATATTAATTGAGAGGATACCTGCAGTGGGAAAAACTACACCCATATTAGGTCACAGGAATCTTGGCAGGGGACATTTAACAAGTTTTCAAGAGCAGCACAGCCAAACATTCCCAACAAAGGCTGTATACAACTCCAGTGGAGCTTTTCTCCTCCTCCCCTCCATACATAACATCCAAATTTCAAACTGTAGCTCAGAGGGAAAAAAAAACGGGCATAGGCTAAGTTGGAAAAGGAATCAAAGATAATGTTCCAATACATATGAGAACAAATGAAAGGTCAGGA